ATTTAGTTTTATTTTTGTTTTTGTTTTATTTTGGTATAGTGGAACTCATTTTATTTCCTATTTTTATGTTTACTTGTTTTTGCATTCTTAGGTTTTAGGTTTAGTTTGCTAAGGTTTGCGAATAAGATGTAATTTTCCATAATCTGTGAGGTTTTCTAACACATTTTGGACTTTTTGAGTTTTTATGTGTTTTGACAGATATTTCTGATGAAGAAAACGATGAAGGGATGTCCAGATTTTGCACTCACTTCGATCTTCACAGATTAATCAGGGCAGTATCTCATACCTTAAGCTTGCTTTTCTACTCCCATGTTCATTATCGGTTGACATTAAGAACAATGTCATTTTCTTTTTTCTTTTTTTTTTTTTTTTTTTTGGAGGAGGGAGGGGTGTGGTGTAGTTTTTGTTTTTTTTTGTAGAGAGGAGGGGTGTAGAGAAAATTTTGAAATTTTTGCATGTTTTAATTGACATTTATCTTGTGTGTTTTATGGTTTTGGGTTGTGAGTTGATTTGGTATGTATGTATTATTTTTGTTGCCTAGACGATTTGCATAAGTCCATGATGAGATTTTGATTCTGGGATATATTTATAGAAAATGCGAACCATTGCTTCAAGTTTATGTTGGTTGACTTGATTTGTGGAGGTTCATTCAGTGGTTCAACCACCATGTTCATTCTTTTGGCATGCTTAGAAATATTTTATGTAGCTATGTGAAGTCTTACTAATGTTGGTAGACTCTAGAACCTAGTTGGGAGGTGCTTAAGGATTAGACATTGTTGAGGAAATGATTTAGGCAATTTTCGGGAATGTTGAACCTTCTAGCCAACCCATGAATGAATTATCCCTAGTCACCCGTTTGAGCCTTTTGATATTTTTGCCTTATTTTTCTTTCATGCAACTAAATTGTCCAACCTTTACCCTAAACACTTTATCATACCCTTAGGAGAACTCGGACCCTTTGTATAACATAAAAGAGTTTTGGAGGCGTGTGAATAAATGAGGGATTAAAAAGTTCAAGTTTGGGGGTTGTGAAAAAGGGCAAGTAACCCTATTTCTGATTGTGTTTGATGTTTATAACAAAAAAAAAAAAAAAAAAGACCTTTAATATAGTTTTAATTAAAGTTCTTGATTTACTTATGCATACTTTTGGTTGGTGAGGAAAGGAAATGGGACGAATGTAGGTCTTGTGTTTGCATGAGGAAAACCAAGTTCCTTGCTTTGTTTTCCTATCTTTTCTTTAGAACCACTTACTTAGGCCTAACGTTATGATAATCCATGGATTATACAATTTTCTTTAGTCTTTTTATTCGGATTTCAAGTACTTGTGGTGCATTTTGACCGAATGTTGTTGTTTAATTCTTTACATTTTGTGTTTCAGGTTAAATGGACAATTTATGCAAATAAGGACAAAATTGGAAGTTTTTACTCAAAGTTAGCGGATCTCAGAAGTTAGGAGAGTTCTGAAGCAGGATAAAGCACGATGAGGCTTGTTCCAAAAGGAGAGCATCGAGAATCGAAGAGGAAAGAAGAAGCAAGCAGAGTGGCAGTTCTGTAATTTCAGAACTCATCAAATAGCTTCGACCGGCGAAGATTTTTCCTTCGCCACGGCGAAGTATGCCAGACACCACTCCAGATCTGTTTCTTTCTTCACCACGGTGATTATTGTAGTTTTGTTAAACGCACAGTTTTACTTTGTGCGTGTTTTTGGGCAAGGTATAAAGGAAAACTAAGCTTTTGTCCAAGGGTCTTCGTTTTTAGGTTAAACAGCTTTTACAATTTCTAGGAGGAGTTTTTGATGCGATTTTGGATGTAACAAGGGTGAAGATTCGATTCTAACTAAGGGATTCATCTTTTGGGGAGATTTCTTATCTTTTATCTCAGTTTCATTAGTTGAACTTGATATTTGTGGTTTTTCGTTTTTGTACTGTTAATTTAGCTATGAACTAACAATTTTTGGGTTAGGGTGTTGGTTGTAGTTTAGATTTTTAATGGGTTAAGTGTTTGATTGTTTTACTTTCATATGAGTATGCTTTGGTTGTGTGTTACTCTGAGTTTTAATGGATATTGTGATGAACATGATGAGATTGAGAAATGAGTCATGTTATGCTTCTGGGTAATCACCATTATAATATTGGATGCTAGAGATAGATTCAAGAATTATGAAATCATTGTAGGATTCTTTTGCTTAATGAGTTCGGGGATTGTTAACCTTTAAATTGTTGGGTGGGAAGGTTAATAAGGGAATAGGAAAACATAGCCCGAGAGGGTATGTTTAACATCTTAGTGAGTTTGATTTACAACCATTGCGTATGAATGTGATTGTAGTGTAATTTTTAGGTTTAACCCATAAAATCTAAAGAAATCAAAACCACTATTTTACTTGAATTGATTATCCGTGTTTTAATATTGCACTCTAGTTAAATTTTAGTTTGAAATTTATTGTTAAGTTTAATTGCAATTAGCTCCCATCAATCCAAAGAAGTCGTTGCTTCAACTTGATAACATTAGTAGACTTAGTGCTAGCTAACAATCCTCGTGGGAATGATACTTTACTCATCATTTTATTACTTGTGCGATTAGTATACTTGCTACGTATTGCATGTTGTAGGAAACACGCATCAGTTTTTGGCGTTGTTGCGGGGATTGTTTTAAGTTAAATTGAGTTTTTTATAGTTAGCTAGATTGGAGTTTTGTTTTTTTTTTTTTTTTTTTTTTTTTTTTTTTATTTTCAATTGGGTTGTGATCTCACTTTCCTTCACTTTTGTTCATCCAGTTATGCGAAGAGCGAGACGTAACCAGTGGTTCCTGTTGATCTTGAGCTTGAGAGACCTTAGAAGACAGTACACAGAGAGAGAAGAGAAAGAGAGGGTTTAGTTGTAGAAGCAAGAAGAATAGTTGTTGAAATGGCTGAACCAGAAAACAGGACACTGAGGGAATTTTCAGTTCCACAGTGAATGGTAGTGGGTCGAGTATTACTAGACCTACGTGCAAGCAAAAACTTCGAAATCAAGCTGGCAATATTCAGATGATCCAGTATCGGTTAGATTTAATGGAGATTGAAGGAAGACCCGAATCAGCATATTGCAAATTTCTTAGAAATTGTGTGACCATTCAAGTCAAACGGGAGTGTCGGATGATGTATGCTATAGGCTGCAATTATTCCCATTCTCGTTGGGAGATAAAGCCAAGGGGTGGTTAATGGCATTACACGGGAACAAAAACAACTTGGAATGAGCTAGCACATAAATTCCTTACCAAGTTTTCCTCCAGCTAAGTCAGCAAAATTGAGAAATGATATCACATTTCTACAGAGGATTCCAAGTCATTATATGAGGCTTGGGAGAGATACAAGGGTTAATGAGGAAGTGTCCACACCATGGGTTGCCAGTTTGGCTTCAAGTCCAAACGTTTCTAATGGGTTGATGGGTAATGTGCAAACCATGTTGGATGTGCTTCAGAGGGGGACCTTGTAGAATAAGACACCAGAGGAGGTTTTGGCAAGCAACAATTATCAAAGACCTAATGAAAGAGCAACATCAAGGAAATCTTCAGGTCTTCATGAAGTTGATGCTTTACAGCCATCTCAGCCCAACTCACAGCACTTCAAAAACAATTGGGAACTATGCAGGTAAACTTGTACAAGCACCTCAACAACGTGTGATTTTTGTGTAGGGAACCATGTGAGCAGCGAGTGTCAAGTTGGGAACCATTTGTCGTCATCTTCATCAACGGAGCAAGTAATTACTTGGCAGGAAATCAAAGACAAACAAACAACCGTTCTCCAACACATACAACCCGGGGTAGAGAAATCATCCAAATCTGGCTTGGGGAAATCAAAACCAACAAAATACTCAATGGAATCAGAGGACAGTTCCAAATAACCAACCAGGGGTTACTAATTAACCGGGAGATCAAAGAGTGTCGAAGTTGGAGGAATGTTTGGAAATTATGTAGGAAACCACGGGATTCATGAATGAGACGATGACAAATTCGAATACAAGGGGCGTCCATTTGGAATCTTGAGGTACAGTGGGCCAATTGGCCGGAAGCTTAATGATAGACCGCAGGGGTCTCTACCAAGCAACACGGTGACTAACCCACGTGAGCAAGTAAATGCAATTTCGTGAGAAGTGGGAGAGTTTTAGAAGAGGTGAGAGATCCAAGGAAAGAGGAAACTTCATCAAAGAAAAATGAAGATCTGAGAGGAAATTGATGAAGAAATTGAAGCTGAAGAGAAACCACCCAGCCTAAGTAAAGATGAGCAGAAGTAGGAGAAGGGAAAAAGAAAAGGGAAGAGAAATTGCCATTCCCCAAGATTCCACCAGAGTTGGCGCTAACACACCACCCGTACCTTTCCTAAAAGACTCAAAAAAGAAAATCAGGATAAGCAGTTTATTAAATTTCTGATGGTTTAAAAAACTGGTAACATTCCTTTTGCAGATGCATTGAACAGATGCCGAGCTACGCGAAATTTCTTAGAGAAATTTTATGAACAAGAGGACGCTGAAGATGAGGAAACGGTGATGCTTACGGAGGAGTGCAGTGCCATTCTCTAGAAGAAGCTGGCCCCGAAACTCAAAGATCCAGGGAGTTTTACTATCCCTTGCACTATAGGAGATATCACCTTTGATCGAGTTTTATGTGACCTAGGTGCTAGCATTAACCTTATGCCTTTTTCTGTTTTTAGGAAACTAGGAATTGGTGAAGTTAAGCCGACAACCATATGTTTGCAACTTGCAGATCGATCAATAAAGCATCCGAGGGGCATTGTGGAAGATGTGTTGATTAATGTGGACAAGTATTTTTCCTACGGATTCTTTGTGCTGGACATGAAGAAGACAAAGAGATTCTCTTATCCTGGGACGACCATCTAGCCACCAGAAGAGCGTTAATCGACGTTCAAGAAGGAGTTGATCATGAGGATGCAAGATGAAGAAAATAACATTTAATGTCCTTGAATCAATGAAAGCTCCACCTAAACAAGGTCGTGTTAAAAATCGATGGTGGTGGATCAGTCAAGAATTGAGCCCTTCCAATTGAATAATCCTAAGGTGGAAATTGAGAACTGCATTGTAAAACTGAATAAGTTCGGAAATGAGGTAATGACGGAAGAGGTTGCACAAAATTCCTAGACAAGCCGCAGTTGAGAATAAGTTCGAATAAGGAAAGGGTAGCTGGGATCAAAAAGGGTGAAGTAAAGCCAAGAAAACGGAAGGCAGTAGGTGAGAAGAGTCGAGCTACCAAAGTTATGAATGGAAATGGGTAGTGAAACTCTAACAAGGCCACTGTGTGGAGAAGACTCTCGGCAAAAGAAGCTCCAGTACAAGGGAAATTTGGGATGTGATGTACTTGAGTAATCCGAGCTAACTTGAAAGATTGAGAGAGTTGAGCTTTCGACTATAAACAAGTGCTTTTGGGAGGCACACCAAGTGTTTTTAACTTGCTTCTTTTTGGTTGTTCGATTTTTGTTTAATTTCATTATGAGTTTTTATAAATTTTTATGTTTTTGTTTTTGTTTTTGGGTGTTTCAGGTGAAGTCGTTAGCCGAAGAAAAGGTATGAAAATGTTCCAGACTTCGCCGGGCAAAGAATCATTCTTCGCCGCGGCGAAGAGACTTGAAAATGGGGTTAGCTCCTGGACGTTTTCGCCGCGGCGAAGAAGGGGAATTAAATTGTGGAAATTGGCTAAGGCATTCGCCGGGGCGAAGCAAGCCTTGTATCCTTAGGAAGTTTTTGCCCCGGCGAAGAAAATTTCTTCGCCGCGGCGAAACCTGGGAAATTTTTTAGGGTTAATGAACGAAGAACGTGCCGCGGCGAAGTTTCTTCTTCGCCGCGAGGACAAAGGTTTTTCTATAAATACTCACTTTTTCTTTTCATTCTTCACGTCGCCTTGCATGTTCACTTGAGAGAAAAATTTTCAAACTCCCATCTTTGCTTCCAGTGCTATTCCAACCAATTTTCTACTCCATAACATTCCTAAACACCAAAAAAACCGTTTCAACAACAATTTTCGCGAAAATTTCACGAAAATTTCACGAAAATTTTCGAATAAAAAATTTGGGGCTTTTCAATCTGGGTTGTTTCCGGTTCAATGGTGGCGAATACTACTTCAATTTGGTAGAGTCTCAATAATCCAAAGCTTTTTATCGAAAAATTTCAAGTTTCTAATCATAGATCTGAGAATTTTTTTTGCTATTGATTTGTGAATATTGGGTGATTTTGAGTTGTGATATTGATTAAGAAGAGTAGTTTGTGCATTAACTGATTGTTAGGAGTGTGGGTTTTGAATTTTTGGAGTGTTTGTGTTGAATTGAAAATTGAAGTTGGGGGGGGAATTGCAAATTTTGGAAGGTTAGTTGTTTGCAGGATTGACTTAATTGTGTTGAACAACTAGGTCTGATTTTTTTGGGTGAATTTTTTTTTTTTTTTATGGATTGAAGTTAAGTTGTGAACAATGGCTCCGAAAGTAAGCAACCATACAAGGGCAAGAGTAAGAGTAAAGGGAAGAGTGTTGACAACCGGTTTGTGTGAATGATGAAGCCCGCAAAAGGCATGAGGCGGCAATCCAAAGAAAGGATAAGGGGATTATTCCGGATCGCGGTTAAACCGTTACTCAGGCCTTGACTGGAGTAGAGGGAGACGTTGGGACATGTTTTTGCGAGCTCTTGAGCATTTGGCTGTTGAGCCGCTAGTAAAGGAGTTCTATGCCAATCTCCCAAAGTCTAACGAAGTACTGTTTTTGTAAGAGGGGAGGAAGTGCCATTTACGGGGAAGGAGATAAATGATTCTTCATTGCCTGAAATCCTCAGTGATGAGTATGTGCAGTTCAAGAGATCACGGATTGATGACAGCTTAATCCTTCCAGTTATTGCAAAACAGGGTGCAGAGTGGGTAGTGTCAAAGAAACAGAAAAAGACTCTAAGGGCACGCAGTGACCCAATGGCTTGACTGTGGCAATACTTTGTCTGTGCAAAACTAATGCCAGAATCGCACTACAGCATCGTGACTCACGAGAAGGCAGTGCTGCTACTCGATTGCCACAGGGAAAAGTATTGATGTGGGGGACATGATTTTTAACAGCATCAAGTCGCAGCAAAACCGGGACAGGAAGTTACGGTTCCCGATCTCATCACAGCCCTATGCCTTAAAGCTAGATTAAGGTTCAAGATGACGAGCACCGCATTATGCTGCTCCAATTCTAGACTCAGAATACTACAAGAAACACCTTGACCATTCGGAATCTGCGCAACCAAGAGTAGAAGCAAAAAGGCAGAGAACAAGCCTTGCCACATCACCAGCTCCACAGGTTCACAGAAACAGATGATGCAGGAAAGATGGGCTTAGTGAAAACATGAAGAGATGTCAGGATTGGATGGTAGAGCAGACTTAGATGATGCATGAGCTGCTGACGAATAGCTTCAAGGAGCTCAATGTTGACATTTTCGCATATCAGGGCCGACTGGAACTCGTATGAGTGGATGGACTCCGAGGAAGAAGAGGAAGACGAGGAAGAACAAGATTGAACCAGAGCACCTGTTTTGATTTTGTTTTTGTTTATTTGTTTTCATTAATTTGTGTTCCATTTGAAACATTGAACTCGGTTTTTATTTGGTTTTGGATTTTGTTTAGTTGTAGTGTTAGTTGTTGCTTTTAATTCGTAGATTGTTGAGGGACGAGATTAGGATGTAATTTTTCAAATAGTTGTGAATTTGTGCTAACATAAGGGACACCACAGTTTTCAATTGTTTTGACAGATTATGGAGGATGAAAAGTCCGAGACCGGGGTTTCATGTGGAGCGACACTTCCCGAATTAACCAGGGAGCATTCTCATACCTTTGTTGTTTTTAGTATTTTCTATTCCTGATTTTGCATAATGGAACATTGGGGACAATGTTATGTTTGTTGGGGGGTAGGGCATAGAATTTAAAAAAAAAAAAAAAAAAAAAAACTAGTTAAGGGTATTGGCTGGAAACCCGTAACTGCCTTAAAAAATGTCTAGGAGTACTTGGCGACTTCTGGTTTAACAACGCCACGTACACCTTAACTGAAAAAAAAAAAAAAAAGATTTTTTCTAGTTATTGGTTTAGTTGTTTGTTGCCGATGATGAAGTGTACAAATCAGTGATGAGAAGTGGGTTGAAATTTTTATATGAGAAATGTTAAGCATTGCTTCAAGGTATGTTTATTGACTGGATTTTGATTGAGGTTTGTTGAGTGGTTCAACCACCATTTTCATTTTTTTCGGCATGCTTAGATTCATTTTATGTGATTAGGCGAAGTTTGTTATGTTGGTGGACTCTAGAACCTAGTAGAGAAGTGCTTGAGGCAAAATTCTAGGATTAGACATGGTTGAGAAGATGATTTAGGCATTTGTTCGAAACGTTTGAGCCTTTCTAGCCGACCCATGAAATAATTTCCCATAGTCACCCATTTGAGCTATTTAAATTTTATTGTTTTACTTTTTTCTTGGAAAATAACAGAATTGTCCAATCCTTATGCCCTAAACACTTATCATACCCTTAAGAGAATTCGGCCCTAATGCAAACGAAAGAGGTGTCGAATAAGCAAAAGAATAGTTTGGGGGTTGGGAGAAGAGAATAAAAATAAAAGAGGTAGTCACCTCAATTCAATGACTTGTTTTTTATGCTTTGTTAAAAAAAAAAAAAAAAAAAAAAAAAAAAAAAAAAAAAAAAAAAAATCGTTAAGGGTATACTGGCTGGAAACCAGAACCCGCCTAAAAACTGCCTAGCATACTTGGCAACCTCTGGTGTAACAACGCCACGTACACCTTAAACGAAGCTCCCCTGCATTTATGGTTTCGGGAATAAGAAAAATGAAAGTTTTGAGGGTGGTGAATTAGCAGACATTTAATTGGTGGTTAAGAAGAAGTGGAGTTCGATTAGACGTTAGCGTTTGCATTGGAAAACCGAGTTTTCTTACTTGTGATTCCTATCCTTTTTGTTGGAACCCACTAACCGAGCCTAACGTTACAACCTTTTAAAGACCTTTTGATTCTCATTTTTGTTTAGTCCTCATTAGTGGAGAGTAGTTCGATATTTAGGCTTATGGAGTCCGTCACCATTTGATAAACTTTGCATTTTTGCATAAAATAATCCAGGAAGTTGAAATGTGGATTGAAGTAGGGATACCCTACTGTGGGGACCGATTGGGAAGACAGTCGATAATGCTTATAACTTCTTGGAGTGTTGAAATTTCTTATTAATTTTTCAACAACTTTTGAGGCTTGTGTAATTTTAGGCAATTGTTTGTTTAATTTGAGTCTTGTTAGTTTTGTTCATTTTTCAGTTTGTTGTGTTTGTGGTTTTCGTCATTGTTTATGTGTTTGTTTTCGTTGGTTGTACCGTATGCTTGGGGACGAGTATATCTTAGTTTGGGGGTATTTGATAATCCGTGGATTATACAATTTTCTTTAGTCTTTTTATTCGAATTCAAGTACTTTGTTGTGCATTTTGACCTGAATTGTTGTTTAATTCTTACACTGTGTTTCAGGTTAAAATGGACAATTTATGCAAATAAGGACAAAATTGGAAGTTTTTGACTCAAAAGTAGCGAATCTCAGAAGTTAGGAGAGTTCTGAGCAGGATAAAGCACGATGAGGCTTATTCCAAAGGGAGAGCATCGAGAACGAAGAAGGAATCAAAGAAGCAAGCCGAGTGGGCAGTTCTGTAATTTCAGAACTCGTAAATAGCTTCGCCGGCTAAGATTTGTCCTTCGCCGCGGCGAAGTACGCAGACACGCTCCAGATCTGTTTCTTTCTTTGGTTCTTCGCCGCGGCGACGGTCATTATTTGCAGTTTTGTAAACGCACAGTTTTACTTTGTGCGGTTTTTTGGGCAAGGTATAAAAGGAAAACTAACTTTTTGTCCAGGGTCTTCGTTTTTAGGTTAAACAGCTTTTACAATTTCTTAGGAGGAGTTTTTGATGCGATTTTGGATTGTAACAAGGGTGAAGATTCGATTCTAACTAAGGGATTCATCTTTTGGGGAGATTTCTTATCTTTTATCTCAGTTTCATTATGTTGAACTTGATTATTGTTTTTCGTTTTTGTACTGTTAATTTAGCTATGAACTAACAATTTTTGGGTTAGGGTTTTGATTGTAGTTTGGATTTTTAATGGGTTAAGTGTTTGATTGTTTTACTTTATGAGTTGCTTGGTTGTGTGTTTACTATGAGTTTTAATGGATATTGTGATGAACATGATGAGATTGAGAAATGAGTATGTTATGCTCTGGGTAATCACCATATTAATATTGGATGCTAGAGATAGATTCAAGATTAATGAAATCATTGTAGGATTCTTTTGCTTAATGAGTTCGGAATTGTTAACCTTCAAATTGTTGGGTGCGGAAGGTTAATAAGGATGAATAGGAAAACATAGCCGAGAGGGTATGTGTTAACATCTTAGTGAGTTTGATTTACAAACATGCGTATGAATGTGATTGTAGTGTAATTTTTAGGTTTAACCCATAAAATCTAAATGAAGTCAAAACCCTACCTATTTTACTTGAATTGATTATCCGTGTTTTAATATTGCAC